CTGTAATGCTTTAAAATGATGCATAAACGATTGTCCGGGCATGAAAACTGTCAAAGTTATTTGCAACCATATCGGAACCTCAAATCATAGCGTTTTTAAACATAGAACAACAATTCTACCGATCCATCAAATTGACCATTTTTTACACGAACACATTATGCTACAAATGATATACCAAATTAAAGTGCAACTGTAATGCTTTAAAATGATGCATAAATGACTGTCATAGCATGAAAACTGTCAAAGTTATTCACAACCATATCGGAACCTCAAATTACCGCGTTTTTAAACCTGGGAAAATAATTCTACCGATCTATCCAATTGGCCATTTTCTAAAAATATATTATGAAATAAATTATATACCAAAGCAAATGGCAACTATAATGCAATAAAAAGTTATATAAACGACTGTTATAACATGAAAACTATAAAAGATATTTGCAACCATATCGGAGCCTTAAATTACCGCATTTCTAAACCTGTACCAATAAATATACCGATCTATCCAATTTTTGTAAAAATTCATTATGCCACAAATTATACACCAAAACAAAGTGCAAATGTAATGCTTTAAAATGATGCATAAACGATTGTCCTGGCATGAAAACTGTCAAAGTTATTTGCAACCATAACGGAACTTCAAATCATAGCGTTTTTAAACATAGAACAACAATTCTACCGATCCATCAAATTTACAATTTTTTAGAAGAACACATTTTGCCACAAGTGATATACCAAGTTAAAGTACAATCGTAATGCATTAAAATGATGCATAAATGATTGTCATAACATGAATACTGTCAAAGTTATTCGCAACCATATCGGAACCTCAAATTACGGCCTTTTTAAACCTGGGAGAATAATTCTACCGATCTATCCAATTGGCCATTTTCTAAAAATACATTATGGAATAAATTATATACCAAAACAAATGGCAACTATAATGCAATAAAAAGATATATAAAAGACTGCTATAACATGAAAACTATACAAAATATTTGCAACCATATCGGAGCCTTAAATTACCGAATTTTTAAACCTGTACCAATAAATATACCGATCTATCCAATTTTTGTAAAAATTCATTATGCCACAAATTATACACCAAAACAAAGTGCAACTGTAATGATTTAAAATGATGCATAAATGACTGTCATGGCATGAAAACTAACAAAGTTATTCACAACCATATCGGAACCTCAAATTACCGCGTTTTTAAGCCTGGGAAAATAATTCTACCGATCTATCCACTTGGCCATTTGTTAAAAATACATTATGCAATAAATTATATACCAAAACAAATGGCAATTTTAATGCATAAACGACTGTCCTAGCACGAAAACTGCCAAAGTTAATTGCAACCATATCGGAACCTCAGATTACTGCGTTTATTAAACATAGAACAATAATTCTACCGATCTATCAAATTGACCAATTTGTAAAAACACACATTATGCTACAAATGATATACCATATTAAAGTGCAATCATAATGCTTTAAAATGATGCATAGATGACTGTCATAGCGTGAAAACTGTCAATGTTATTTGCAGCCATATCGGAACCTCAAATTACCGCGTTTTTAAAGCTGTGAAAATAATTCTACCGATCTATCCAATTGGCCATTTTCTAAAAATATATTATGCAATAAATTATATACCAAAACAAATGGCAACTATAATGCAATAAAAAGATATATAAAAGACTGCTATAACATGAAAACTATACAAAATATTTGCAACCATATCGGAGCCTTAAATTACCGCATTTCTAAACCTGTACCAATTAATATACCGATCTATCCAATTTTTGTAAAAATTCATTATGCCACAAATTATACACCAAAACAAAGTGCAAATGTAATGCTTTAAAATGATGCATAAATGACTGTCATAGCATGAAAACTGTCAAAGTTATTCACAACCATATCGGAACCTCAAATTACCGCGTTTTTAAACCTGGGAAAATAATTGTACCGATTTATCTAATTGGCCATTTTCTAAAAATACATTATGCCATAAATTATATACCAAAACAAATGGCAATTTTAATGCTTTAAAATGGTGCATAAACGACTGTCCTAGCACGAAAACTGCCAAAGTTAATTGCAACCATATCGGAACCTCAGTTTACGGCGTTTATTAAACATAGAACAATAATTCTACCGATCTCCCAAATTGACCAATTAGTAAAAACACACATTATGCTACAAATTATATACCATATTAAAGTGCAATCACAATGCTTTTAAATGATGCATTAATGACTGTCATAGCATGAAAACTGTCAATGTTATTTGCAACCATATCGGAACCTCAAATTACCGCCTTTTTAAAGCTGTGAAAATAATTCTACCGATCTATCCAATTGGCCATTTTCTAAAAATATATTATAGAATAAATTATATACCAAAGCAAATGGCAACTATAATGCAATAAAAAGATATATAAACGACTGTTATAACATGAAAACTATAAAAGATATTTGCAACCATATCGGAGCCTTAATTTACCGCATTTCTAAACCTGTACCAATAAATATACCGATCTATCCAATTTTTGTAAAAATTCATTATGCCACAAATTATACTCCAAAACAAAGTGCAACTGTAATGCTTTAAAATGATGCATAAACGATTGTCCGGGCATGAAAACTGTCAAAGTTATTTGCAACCATATCGGAACCTCAAATCATAGCGTTTTTAAACATAGAACAACAATTCTACCGATCAATCGAATTTAAAATTTTTTAGAAGAACACATTTTGCCACAAATGATATACCAAGTTAAAGTACAATCGTAATGCATTAAAGTGATGCAAAAATTATTGTCATAGCATGAAAACTGTCAAAGTTATTCGCAACCAAATCGGAACCTCAAACTACCGCGTTTTTAAAGCTGTGAAAATAATTCTACCGATCTATCCAATTGGCCATTTTCTAAAAATATATTATGGAATAAATTATATATCAAAACAAATGGCAACTATAATGCAATAAAAAGATGTATAAACGACTGTTATAACATGAAAACTATAAAAGTTATTTGCAACCATATCGGAGCCTTAAATTACCGAATTTATAAACCTGTACCAATAAATATACCGATCTATCCAATTTTTGTAAAAATTCATTATGCCACAAATTATACACCAAAACAAAGTGCAACTGTAATGCTTTAAAATGATGCATAAATGACTGTCATAGCATGAAAACTGTCAAAGTTATTCACAACCATATCGGAACCTCAAATTACCGCGTTTTTAAACCTGGGAAAATAATTCTACCGATCTATCCAATTGGCCATTTGCTAAAAATACATTATGCAATAAATTATATACCAAAACAAATGGCAATTTTAATGCATAAACGACTGTCCTAGCACGAAAACTGCCAAAGTTAATTGCAACCATATCGGAACCTCAGATTACTGCGTTTATTAAACATAGAACAATAATTCTACCGATCTATCAAATTGACCAATTTGTAAAAACACACATTATGCTACAAATGATATACCATATTAAAGTGCAATCATAATGCTTTAAAATGATGCATAGATGACTGTCATAGCGTGAAAACTGTGAATGTTATTTGCAGCCATATCGGAACCTCAAATTAACGCGTTTTTAAAGCTGTGAAAATAATTCTACCGATCTATCCAATTGGCCATTTTCTAAAAATATATTATGCAATAAATTATATACCAAAACAAATGGCAACTATAATGCAATAAAAAGATATATAAAAGACTGCTATAACATGAAAATTATAAAAGATATTTGCAACCATATCGGAGCCTTAAATTACCGCATTTCTAAACCTGTACCAATAAATATACCGATCTATCCAATTTTTGTAAAAATTCATTATGCCACAAATTATACACCAAAACAAAGTGCAAGTGTAATGCTTTAAAATGATGCATAAACGATTGTCCTAGCATGAAAACTGTCAAAGTTATTTGCAACCATAACGAAACCTCAAATCATAGCGTTTTAAACATAGAACAACAATTCTACCGATCCATCAAATTTACAATTTTTTAGAAGAACACATTTTGCCACAAGTGATATACCAAGTTAAAGTACAATCGTAATGCATTAAAATGATGCATAAATGATTGTCATAGCATGAAAACTGTCAAAGTTATTCGCAACCATATCGGAACCTTAAATTACAGCCTTTTTAAACCTGGGAGAATAATTCTACCGATCTATCCAATTGGCCATTTTCTAAAAATACATTATGCAATAAATTATATACCAAAACAAATGGCAATTTTAATGCTTTAAAATGGTGCATAAATGACTGTCCTAGCACGAAAACTGCCAAAGTTAATTGCAACCATATCGGAACCTCAAATTACCGCGTTTTTAAACATAGAACAATAATTCTACCGATCCATCAAATTTACCATTTTTTAGACGAACACATTATGCCACAAATGATATACCAAATTAAAGTGCAATCATAATTGTTATGTATTGTTATTACATTAACATCTCTATCACTTTTAAGTATATATTGAAGTTAATCTCTCTTTATGTTAAACACATAGCTTTTAATATCACTTGAATTTCTATCCCTTTAACATTAATAAAAGTCAGTTGTTAATCAGACTCCGTGCGTTTCAATACACTACATTGGCGACGAGATTAAAAAAAAAGGAATTATCGTAAATACGATTAAATGTGTATATACACATAAGTAATAAATAATAAGTGTAACTCGTTGTTTTACAATTGTTACAAAAAAATTAAATACATATTTTAAAAAGAAAATTAAAAACAATTTGTTGAACTTTATTTACTTAAATGTATGTAAATATATACATATAAAAAAAAGGAAATAATAAAAAAAAATCACCATAAGAACTTCATATACATAAAAAAAGGAACAACTGAATACAGAACATAAATTGTCATTCTAAAGACAAAAACTTAATTTGTATAAAAAAGTGCATTTTGGACTACATAAAAAAAAATAAAAAAAAAATCAACATGCCAGATAATGTTCCAGGTGGTACCGTTACTATTTACCATCCAAATAATATACCTCAATTCTCCCCCCGCAATGAATCTTGGTTGTTATGGAAAGAAAAACTTGATATTTATTTCACTGAAATAAATTGCACTGAAGAAAGTACGAAAAAAGCCACTCTCTTGAAAGCTATTGGACCAATTGCGTATGAAACATTGCATAATTTATGTAGCCCAGACACTCCAGTTTCAAAAACGTTTAAAGAACTTTGCAGCTTACTAAAAATGCACTACACTCCGCCAACTATAATTTTTCGTGAGCGCAAAAGCTTTCACACTGCTATACAAGGTGAAGACGAAACAGTAGCAGAATGGCATGCTGGAGTAAAAAAATTAGCACTCGCGTGTAAATTTGGTGTTCATTTAGATGCCTTTGTTTTGGATCGCTTTATTATGGGAATAAATAATAAAATATTTGAACGACTGTGTGAAGAGGATGAGAAAATTACAATTGAAGATGCTCTCAGAAAAGCTTTAATTATGGAGATGAAGTTAGTATCGAAAGAAAATAATGACATGCAAGTTGGAAATATAAAGTTTGGCAAACATAAAAACAAACTCAAATACAACAACAACAATTATTCTAACAAGAACAAAAGCACCAACCAAAACAGTCACGAATATCAAGCAAAGAAGAGACAACAATCAACAGCTGATCAATCAAAAACATTAAAGGCCTGTTCTCATTGTGGTTGGAGGAACCACAAATCAAATGAATGTAGATTTCAGCATAGTAAATGTAATTTTTTTGGAAAAATTGGGCATTTGGCTTCTGTTTGCAGAAAAAAGAAAAAGTTGTAAATTATGTATCAGAATCAGATGTAGATAGTGAAGATTTTAATAAAAATAATGTATATGATTTTTCTATTTATAGCATAAATAATTGTGGCAATTCAACTGAGCTCTACAAATTTTCAATTAAAATCGATGGAATTCCAATTGAAGTTGTTTGTGATTCAGGTGCTCCATGCAGTTTGGTATCGAAATCATTTGTTGACAGTCTAAATAAAAAAGTAAGTCTCAAGTCCTGTACTGATCCATATGTCGATTTTAATGGAAATAAAATTAAGGTCCTAGGACAATATGATGAAATAATTGAATTAAAAGGTACAAAGAAAACAGTGAAGCTGGTAGTAACTGATAGTAATAATAATCCTTTGTTTGGTAGAAACTTTCTACGCACATTTAATTTTGAACTTATTCAAGTAAACTCAGTTAGTTCTGATCAATATTCCATTATAACTGAGCAAATTAAAAATTAATTTCATGAAATTTTTAGTAGTGGTCTTGGAAGTTATAAGTTTGGGAAAATATCTTTGGCCATAAACAGTGATGCAACACCTTTTTTTTGTAAACCACGTCCTGTGCCTTTGGCCTGGAAAGGAAAAATTGAAAATAATTTAAGGGAACTAATAGCAAATGACGTATTAGAACAAGTAGACCATTCAGAATGGGGTACACCACTAGTACCAATTTTAAAACCGAACGGTGATATTCGTATCTGTGGCGACTATAAGGTCACAATTAATAAATATTTATCTGATTTCAATTATCCACTTCCTTTAATTGACGAAATTTTTGCTTCCCTTCAAGGAGGTCAATTATTTTCAAAATTGGACTTATCAAACGCTTATAACCAACTTATTCTTGATGACAAATCACAGCTTTTATGTACCTGGTCTACGCATATTGGAACTTTGAAAATGAAACGATTACCTTTTGGCGTCAAACCTGCCGCTGCAATATTCCAAAAAACAATGGAGAACTTATTGCAAGGAATACCATTTGTGGTTGTATATCAAGATGATATTACAGTATCGGGTAAAGATATGAATGAACATATTCGAAATTTGAAGTCAGTGTTAAATAAATTATTACAAGCTGGACTTAAGCTTAATTTATCTAAATGTAAATTTTTCAAAGAAGAAATTTCATACTTAGGTTTCACAATTGACAGGTTTGGTCTTAGGAAAAATAAAGAAAGAATTAATTCGGTATTAAATGCCCCCATTCCTAACAACGTTTCAGAATTACGTGCATTTATAGGTCTTGTGAATTATTATGCAAAGTTTGTTAATAATTTTGCAAAAATTATGACTCCTTTGTATAAGTTATTACAGAAAAATGTTAGATTTGAGTGGTCCGAAAGTTGTCAAATAGCCTATGATACAATAAGAAAAGAAATTACTTCTGAAAAAGTTCTGGTGCACTTTAATCCAAAGTTACCAATTTTCCTCACAACTGACGCATCAGACTATGCCATAGCTGGTGTACTTTCGCACAAATTTTCTGAAAATGAATTCAAACCAGTGGCATTTATTTCAAGAGCTTTATCCAAAACTGAACAAAAGTACAGTACACATGAAAAAGAAGCACTTGCAATTATTTTTAGCGTCACTAAATTAAAACAGTATTTGATTGGAAATGTTTTTACATTAGGAACTGACCATAAGCCATTAATTTCTATATTTGGCCAAAACAAAGGCTTGCCTGTAATGGCAGCAGCACGTGTTCAGAGATGGGCTTTTATTCTCTCTGGATTTAATTATAAAATTGAGTATGTTAAAGGTCAATTAAATGAAGCTGATAATTTATCACGAATACCTCAATTTAAAACAAATGTTGTCAATGAGAATGACATTAATGACAGTACTTTTATAAATTATATACAGAAGGATAATATGTTGAGCCTTGACTTTAAAGATATAGCTAGGGAAAATAGACGTGACCCTATTCTTTCTAAAGTGTGTGAATTTGTTCGAATGGGTAAAATTAGAGAACTAACAGGTGATGAATTTAAATCATTTATCAACAAGGATATTGAGTTAACTGTTGACCATGACTGTTTATTATGGGGATATAGAGTTATTATACCAGAGAAATTAAGAAAATCAATTCTTCAACTAATACATGAATCCCACTTTGGTATAGTTAAAACAAAGGCACTTGCCAGGTCATTTGTTTGGTGGCCTAATATTGACAATGAGATTGAGAATTTAGTCAAATCATGTATTTCTTGTCAAAAACTATTGGCTAGTCCAGAGAAAAGTATACTCATACCTTGGACTCCTACAAGCTCTGTTTGGCAAAGAATCCACATAGACTTTGCAGGCCCAATAAGGAATTATCACTTTCTTATAGTTATTGACTCATATTCAAAATGGGTAGAAGTTTTCAAGACAAAAGATATCACTTCCAATTTTGTAATTACAAAATTAAGAGAAATTTTTTGTCGTTTTGGGATTCCACACAATATTGTCAGCGACAACGGCAGACAATTCGTGTCCGAAGATTTTAAAGATTTCATTTCAAGAAATAAAATTAAACACACATTAACAGCCCCTGGACATCCAGCCACAAACGGCCAGGCTGAAAATTTCGTGAAATCTCTTAAGAAATCTATTTATGCAAATTTAAATTCTGAGAAAAAAGAAAATATTGATGTAATTTTAAATCGTTTCTTAATGGATTATCGTAATACAAAACATAGCTCAACTGGTGAGAGCCCGGCGAAAATTTTTATTGGAAGATCGATTAGAACACGACTTGATCTAATAAAACCTCCACTTTTTAAAAACAAAATGTTGGAAAATCAAATGAAAAGTATATCAAATCATAAAGGTAATAGATCAGTTACTTTTGAAAAAGGTCAAAATGTTTTCATTAGAGACTACACAAATGTAAATAAAGAATCATGGGCCCCAGCTATCATTAAGGATAGAACAGGTTCACTTTCATATCAGTGTATTCTTTCAACTGGCAGAGTAATAAAAAGACATACTGATCAAATTAGGGCAGGAGTAAAGGATGTCAGTAATGATTTTATCCCGCCTGAATTACCATCATCTTCAAATGGAAGTACTTCGACGGAAAAGGTTGAACGGTCACATAATGATAACAATTCTTCAGAAGTAAATAACAATGAACATGAACCAAATTCAGAAATTGTAAATGAGTCTATAAACACAAATGTTAATGAAGAATTGTCAAATAAAAATCAAACTGAGAAGAATGAAAACAAATGTGGAAGAGTATTAAGACCCAGAACAAATAAAAAAATTTAATACTTAGTACATGTATCTTTATTCGTCTTATTTTGAAAATTTCTAATTTTAAATTTAATTGTTTATTAAAAAAAAAAAAAAAAAAGAATTAAATGCTTTATTAATTATTGTTATTAATTAGTTATACAGACATGCATATATTGTCAAATAATATTTAATGTAAAAATAATCAATAATTATTAAATTAATATTTAAAAGATTTAAGTGGAGGCGTGTTATGTATTGTTATTACATTAACATCTCTATCACTTTTAAGTATATATTGAAGTTAATCTCTCTTTATGCTAAACACATAGCTTTTAATATCACTTGAATTTCTATCCCTTTAACATTAATAAAAGTCAGTTGTTAATCAGACTCCGTGCGTTTCAATACACTACAATAATGCTTTAAAAGGATGTATAAATGACTGTCATAGCATGAAAACTGTCAAAGTTATTCACAACCAAATCGGAACCTCAAATTACCGCCTTTTTAAACCTGGGAAAATAATTCTATCGATCTATCCAATTGGCCATTTTCTAAAAATACATTATGCAATAAATTATATACCAAAACAAATGGCAACTACAATGCAATAAAAAGATGTATAAACGACTGTTATAACATGAAAACTATAAAATTTATTTGCAACCATATCGGAGCCTTAAATTACCGCATTTTTAAACCTGTACCAATAAATATACCGATCTATCCAATTTTTGTAAAAATTAATTATGCCACAAATTATACACCAAAACAAAGTGCAACTGTAATGCTTTAAAATGATGCATAAATGACTGCCATATCATGAAAACTGTCAAAGTTATTCACAACCATATCGGAACCTCAAATTACCGCGTTTTTAAACCTGGGAAAATAATTCTACCGATTTATCTAATTGGCCATTTTCTAAAAATACATTATGCAATAAATTATATACCAAAACAAATGGCAATTTTAATGCTTTAAAATTGTGCATAAACGACTGTCCTAGCACGAAAACTGCCAAAGTTAATTGCAACCATATCGAAACCTCAGATTACAGCGTTTATTAAACATAGAACAATAATTCTACCGATCTATCAAATTGACCAATTTGTAAAAACACACATTATGCAACAAATTATGTACCATATTCAAGTGCAATAATAATGCTTTAAAATGGTGCATAAATGACTGTCATAGCATGAAAACTGTCAATGTTATTTGCAACCATATCGGAACCTCAAACTACCGCGTTTTTAAAGCTGTGAAAATAATTCTACCGATCTATCCAATTGGCCATTTTCTAAAAATATATTATGGAATAAATTATATACCAAAGCAAATGGCAACTATAGTGCAATAAAAAGATATATAAACGACTGTTATAACATGAAAACTATAAAAGTTATTTGCAACCATATCGGAGCCTTAAATTACCGCATTTTTGAACCTGTACCAATAAATATACCGATCTATCCAATTTTTGTAAAAATTCATTATGCCACAGATTATACACCAAAATAAAGTGCAACTCTTATGCTTTAAAATGATGCCTAAACTATTGCCCTAGTATGAAAACTGTCAAAGTTATTGGCAGAGTAATAAAAAGACATACTGATCAAATTAGGGCAGGAGTAAAGGATGTCAGTAATGATTTTATCCCGCCTGAATTACCATCATCTTCAAATGGAAGTACTTCGACGGAAAAGGTTGAACGGTCACATAATGATAACAATTCTTCAGAAGTAAATAACAATGAACATGAACCAAATTCAGAAATTGTAAATGAGTCTATAAACACAAATGTTAATGAAGAATTGTCAAATAAAAATCAAACTGAGAAGAATGAAAACAAATGTGGAAGAGTATTAAGACCCAGAACAAATAAAAAAATTTAATACTTAGTACATGTATCTTTATTCGTCTTATTTTGAAAATTTCTAATTTTAAATTTAATTGTTTATTAAAAAAAAAAAAAAAAAATGAATTAAATGCTTTATTAATTATTGTTATTAATTAGTTATACAGACATGCATATATTGTCAAATAATATTTAATGTAAAAATAATCAATAATTATTAAATTTATATTTAAAAGATTTAAGTGGAGGCGTGTTATGTATTGTTATTACATTAACATCTCTATCACTTTTAAGTATATATTGAAGTTAATCTCTCTTTATGCTAAACACATAGCTTTTAATATCACTTGAATTTCTATCCCTTTAACATTAATAAAAGTCAGTTGTTAATCAGACTCCGTGCGTTTCAATACACTACAATAATGCTTTAAAAGGATGTATAAATGACTGTCATAGCATGAAAACTGTCAAAGTTATTCACAACCAAATCGGAACCTCAAATTACCGCCTTTTTAAACCTGGGAAAATAATTCTATCGATCTATCCAATTGGCCATTTTCTAAAAATACATTATGCAATAAATTATATACCAAAACAAATGGCAACTATAATGCAATAAAAAGATGTATAAACGACTGTTATAACATGAAAACTATAAAATTTATTTGCAACCATATCGGAGCCTTAAATTACCGCATTTTTAAACCTGTACCAATAAATATACCGATCTATCCAATTTTTGTAAAAATTAATTATGCCACAAATTATACACCAAAACAAAGTGCAACTGTAATGCTTTAAAATGGTGCATAAATGACTGTCATAGCATGAAAACTGTCAATGTTATTTGCAACCATATCGGAACCTCAAACTACCGCGTTTTTAAAGCTGTGAAAATAATTCTACCGATCTATCCAATTGGCCATTTTCTAAAAATATATTATGGAATAAATTATATACCAAAGCAAATGGCAACTATAGTGCAATAAAAAGATATATAAACGACTGTTATAACATGAAAACTATAAAAGTTATTTGCAACCATATCGGAGCCTTAAATTACCGCATTTTTAAACCTGTACCAATAAATATACCGATCTATCCAATTTTTGTAAAAATTCATTATGCCACAAATTATACACCAAAACAAAGTGCAACAGTAATGCTTTAAAATAATGCATAAAACTGTCAAAGTTATTCACAACCATATCGGAACCTCAAATTACCGCGTTTTTAAACCTGGGAAAATAATTCTACCGATTTATCTAATTGGCCATTTTCTAAAAATACATTATGCAATAAATTATATACCAAAACAAATGGCAATTTTAATGCATAAACGACTGTCCTAGCACGAAAACTGCCAACTTTAATTGCAACCATATCGGAACCTCAGATTACTTCGTTTATTAAACATAGAATAATAATTCTACCGATCTATGAAATTGACCAATTTGTAAAAACACACATTATGCTACAAATGATATACCATATTAAAGTGCAATCATAATGCTTTAAAATGATGCATAAATGACTGTCATAGCATGAAAACTGTCAAAGTTATTCACAACCATATCGGAACCTCAATTGGCCATTTTCTAAAAATACATTATGCAATAAATTATATACCAAAACAAATGGCAATTTTAATGCTTTAAAATGGTGCATAAACGACTGTCCTAGCACGAAAACTGCCAAAGTTAATTGCAACCATATCGGAACCTCAGATTACAGCGTTTATTAAACATAGAACAATAATTCTACCGATCTCCCAAATTGACCAATTAGTAAAAACACACATTATGCTACAAATTATATACCATATTAAAGTGCAATCACAATGCTTTAAAATTATGCATAAATGACTGTCATAGCATGAAAACTGTCAATGTTATTTGCAACCATATCGGAACCTCAAATTACCGCCTTTTTAAAGCTGTGAAAATAATCCTACCGATCTATCCAATTGGCCATTTTCTAAAAATATATTATGGAATAAATTATATACCAAAGCAAATGGCAACTATAATGCAATAAAAAGATATATAAACGACTGTTATAACATGAAAACTATAAAAGATATTTGCAACCATATCGGAGCCTTAAATTACCGCATTTCTAAACCTGTACCAATAAATATACCGATCTATCCAATTTTTGTAAAAATTCATTATGCCACAAATTATACACCAAAACAAAGTGCAACTGTAATGCTTTAAAATGATGCATAAACGATTGTCCTGGCATGTAAACTGTCAAAGTTATTTGCAACCATATCGGAACCTCAAATCATAGCGTTTTTAAACATAGAACAACAATTATACCGATCCATAGAATTTACAATTTTTTAGAAGAACACATTTTGCCACAAATGATATACCAAGTTAAAGTACAATCGTAATGCATTAAAGTGATGCATAAATTATTGTCATAGCATGAAAACTGTCAAAGTTATTCGCAACCATATCGGAACCTCAAATTACCGCCTTTTTAAACCTGGGAAAATAATTCTACCGCTCTATCCAATTGGCCATGTTCCAAAAATACATTATGCAAAAAATTATATACCAAACCAAATGGCAATTTTAATTTTTTAAAATGGTGCATAATTGACTGACCTAGCACGAAAACTGCCAAGGTTAATTGCAACCATATCGGAACCTCAGATTACAGCGTTTATTAAACATAGAACAATAATTCTACCGATCTATCAAATTGACCAATTTGTAAAAACACACATTATGCAACAAATTATGTACCATATTCAAGTGCAATCATAATGCTTTAAAATGGTGCATAAATGACTGTCATAGCATGAAAACTGTCAATGTTATTTGCAACCATATCGGAACCTCAAACTACCGCGTTTTTAAAGCTGTGAAAATAATTCTACCGATCTATCCAATTGGCCATTTTCTAAAAATATATTATGGAATAAATTATATACCAAAGCAAATGGCAACTATAGTGCAATAAAAAGATATATAAACGACTGTTATAACATGAAAACTATAAAAGTTATTTGCAACCATATCGGAGCCTTAAATTACCGCATTTTTGAACCTGTACCAATAAATATACCGATCTATCCAATTTTTGTAAAAATTCATTATGCCACAAATTATACACCAAAATAAAGTGCAACACTTATGCTTTAAAATGATGCCTAAAC